GCGTTGGCGTCGCCACCGCCGGAGCTCCGCCGAGCGCCGGCCTCGCACGCAGCCTCTTCTTGCCACCGCGGATGACCACGGCGACGGGTGGCGTCGCGCCGACGCCATCCCGTGCCGCCGCTGCACCGTCGAAGCTCCCCAATGCGGCGCGGCCGAAGAAGGGCAAAACTTCGGCGAAGAAAAACAAGGCGGCGGACGGCTCCGGCGGCACGAAGGCGAGGGGAAAGAAGCTTGCAGGGCGTTCGACACCGCGGCGGCTACCGAAGCGCCGGCGAGCTCACTCGTTGAGCCGGCCGCCGACGCGCACCATGTGTTCGACGAAATGCCCCCAAGGTGAAAAAAATTCTAACTTTTATTTTCTTCTTGTTTTTCAATGCATCATCACATATAGATAGCTTATTTGCATTGTTCAAAAAAATTTGTAGTCTCAATGATGATGCATACATGTCAAATATGGGTGTTGGGTCCAACAATTCGCATTGGTCTCAAACCAATGACATCCATTTGGAAGACCATGAGTTTGAGGTGGACGAGGAGGGTGAGGGCATTGTCGACACGCCGAAAGGAAGAGCGGGCAATTGCAGCACCAACAATGATAAGTTACCATGCAATACTTATTTGCAAGTGTCAAGGGATCCATCCATTGGAGGTGATCAAAGTAGAGATGCGTATTGGGGGCGAATGAAAGAATACTTTGATGCTCACAACATGAGTGGAATTGTCCGCTCGGAGAGATCACTTCGGTCCCGATGGTCCACAATCAACTCGGATTGTCAAAAGTGGGCGGCCGCACAAAAGTCAGTTGACAAGATTAAGCCAAGTGGCACAAATGAGGATGATAGAGTAAGTGGCATCTCATATATGTTCATCTCATACTTGTTTTTGGTGTCCGAAGTGCTAACTTGTTTTGTTTTTCTTGTAGTTCAACATTGCACAAAACTTGTTCAAAGAAGAGACGAGGAAAACCAAGAAGGGGAAGATCAAGAAAGGAAGGTTCTTTACCTTGTCTCATTGCTATGAAGTGTTAAAGAATGATGAGAAAAGGAAGAATCGTGATGGTTTGGATGATTTGCATTTGAGCAACAAACGCAAGGTGGATGATGATGAGGAGGAGGATGATGCATCAAGTGATGACGGCAAGAGAAGCCCCACACCCAACTCGGTTTCATACTCGAAGCCAAAACGACCGGATGGGTGCAAGAAAGACAAAACGAAAAGAAGAAGATGAAAGGAGATGATGAGCTCAAAAATGCTATGGAAGCTATTGTGAAGGCAAGAAAAGAAGCCAACGAGGTGAGGAAAATGGCAAGGAACCAAGATGCCGCGGCCGAGCAGAGGAGGTTGGCGGCCGAGGAGAGGAGGGTGGCCGCCGAGGAGAGGAAAGTGGCATTGGAGGAGAGGAAGATGGGCATGGAGGAGCGATCTAGGTTGTTGGAATGGGAGAAGCACTTGTTCTTCTTGGACACATATTCGTTCAATGGTGCGCAAAAGGAATATGTCAACCTTGCTCGTGAAGAAGTCTTGATCCAAAAAAGAGCCATGATCCGCACAATGGATGGCGGTGGCCTTGGCGGCATGGGTGGCGGTGGCCTTGGAGGCATGGGTGGCGGCGCCATGGGAGGCATGGGTGGCTTCGGCGCCATGGGAGGCATGGGTGCACCTCCCGCCGCCACGGGAGGCATGGGTGGCTTGGGCGTCATGGGAGGCATGGGCGCACCTCCGGCCGCCATGGGAGGCATGGGTGGCTTGGGCGCCATGGGAGGCATGGGCGCACCTCCGGCCGCCATGGGAGGCATGGGCGCACCTCCGGCCGCCATGGGAGGCATGGTGGCTTTGGAGCACCCTCTGACACTATGGCCGCCATGGGAGGCATGAGTTTCGCTACTCTTATGGGAGGCATGGGCGCACCTCCGGCCATGGGTGGAATGTCTTTTGATGTGCCTCCTCACACACATTCCCGTGAAGATGCCGTTGAAGATCTTGCGAACACCGTCAGAGCTTCACGTGATGCGATGCGTGATGAGGATAGGGAGGAAGATTCATCTTCGGAGGCGGAAGAATCGTCTTCGGAAGATGAGGACGAAGACGAGGAAGATGTTTGATGTGTCTTTCATTTATATGTCTTGAACTTTACTTTGCATTTTGAACTTGGTTGGATGAACTTGTGGGTATGAACTTGTGGGCATGACTTGGTTGGAAGATGTTTGTAACAAATTTCACATGTTCATTGCATTTTGATAATTGTTTCAAACCCATTTTGTAGCTAAGTCGCGCGCGCTGTATTTTTGCGCGCTGCTGGAGCGGCGCGCGCGCTGCATTATAACGCGGCTGCTGGAGCCAGCGCTCGCGGCCGCGCTAAACTAGCCGAAGCGCGCGCGGCAAACAGGTTTTTTGCGCGCGGCGCATAGCGCGGCTGTTGGAGATGCTCTAATAAATTGTTTTTAAAATTGTTATTTTGTACTGGCATGTAATGAGGCACGTGAATGAACGGATCTCATGAGAAGAGGGCAGCATCCTCAGCATGTGCGATGCCCATCACACCACTGACTTCCTTGCCATTGATAATGATATATGTGAATCACTGTTCATTGGATTGCATGACACAAAGCAAAAACAAACCAATAGTAATAACTACATGGCTAACGAAATCAGTCGGGTTGCGAGCCGTCGGATCGACCGCCAGCCATCGTGGACTTCATGTCTTTCCCCTACCCTTTTCCCCGAGTCGTGAATCCACGACCCCGCACGCACCACCCCAGCCACGCTGATATGCTATCGCAACGGCCACGTCATCGGTGATGCTCCCAAAAGTACTCACAACATCTGCAACAGAGACCCACGGTGAACTGAAGCCATTAGCGTGGCCACCCATTGCAACACTGCGAGCACGACATGATGTTGGGATGCCTTTGTCGCAACAACGGTGATGTTGCGGCCCATGAGCTCACAACACCACCAGTGTTGCGAGCACATCGGAGCAGCGTCTCGCAACATGGGCGTTGTTGCGGGTGGTCGACACCCCCCCCTTCTCCTATTTGCAACAATGGCTACCGTGCCCATGGCTAGGGATGGAGCGGCGGGTACTACCTTGCCCCTATGGTTTGCAGTGCGCTGGTTGTTGTAGCTAGGAGACACCATGAGGTGGTCGGCGGGTGATGCCTCACGATTGTAGCAACGATGGACGGGTGGTCGCTTTTGGTGAGATCTTCATCGACACCGCGGAGTAGGGGAAGTCTTGATACACAAACCCACTATAGTGAATGACCTTCCATCTAGTGGATCTTCTCCCAGACTCTGTGGTACCATCGACAACACTTTAGGCTTGAATGTAGATCACATCAGCCGAACTTCGTAGGGGAAGGGCCGGCTTCTTTTGAACACCACAACTAAAAACACTATTTGATAGGAAGATTAAATAACTCAACAACAACAAAATGCTCATCACGTAGGGATGGAGAGCACGTGAATACGGGAATATATGTTTGTTTGTTGTAACAAAATAAATTAACTGTGAACCAACCTGTGGTTGGATGGTTAGGTGGACAATGATTTCTTTAGCCCACCAAGCATTTATTATCAAACGTCTAAATTTTCGAAAGAAGATCATACAACTCTCACAAATTCCTTTGACAGCTCCTACGCATTTTTATTTTTTCTTCTTCTTCCATTTTGATCTTTGATAAAATCAAGTAAAAATTAATCTCTCCAGCAAAAAAGGTAAAGTATTAATCTCCAAATTTTTGGTACTTATTTCTCTTCACATCCAAAGGTTTATTTTTCCTTTCCAATCGCCAATATTTTTTTTTATCTTTTTAGTCATATATACATGTGGTCATGTTCTACCCTCTCTGCATCCAAGGAGCAATTAGAACCTTACATCCATGTACACATCATGATTCCCACGGCTTATGCACCACCAAACACCTGCAGACAACCACACAAAACTTTCAACTTATTCTAATAAACAAAAATCAGTCCATGACAGTGATGTGCATTGACATCTGCCAGTGACCTAC